CATTATCAATACTATATTTAGCTATCATATTGCCTAATAATATAAACCACTTCAAAATAACCTCTAGGTCCTCTTAAAATACCCTTTAATAATTATATAAATAATTAAATATAATCTTTAGAGTCAGCTGCAAGTTAATAAACCTCTTAGCCTAATGCTTCCTAATAGGCGTCCTATTCTGCATCTATAGCAGGAGATTCACTATATCTTCCACACTAGTAAGTCGCAGGGGAAATCCTCTAGAATCCTGCTCAATAACGTATTAGAGAAGTGTTTTCTCTTCGATCAGATTAAGTTTATATCGTTAAGGCTAGATATAGTTACAGCGTAGTTAATTATTCATTCTGTCGCCTAAGGTACTTTCAGGGATACTATATATCTTTGCAGCACCTTATATACTAAGTTTATGACCTAGAGCATATGTTAATCAGATCGCCTTAATAGTAAGAATAATCTTATCTTCTTAGGTGTAAATTGGTATTGCGGTTGTTGAGATATTATGCGTTAAAGGTTTAAGTGGCTGGGAATAAAGCGCGTTATGGAAAAAGTGTGCAGCTGACTGATATGCGCAGCTGACTAGTAAAGTATGTTAAGCAGAATAATATTATAACTATCAGTATACCTATATATTTATTATATCTACTATAGCTATTAGATATTACCCTTTATTCACCTTTAAAACATATATATAATAATAAAATTAACTAATTCATCAGAGCCTCTATAAATCATATCACTAAGTCTGAGTTCTTTATTACCTTCTATTAAGCCTATAATAAGGTTTTTAATAAGGAAAACATCAGGTCTGCTTTCCAAGGCGCTAGAGTTTCACCATAAGACCTAGATCATATTATTAAAAAGCTTAATATATACTTACAGATGCTTACACCTCTTATAGCTAACTTTTTAACACCTCCACCTTAGCAGTTATAAATACCCTCTAACTTATAACAAATTATCTTATAGTCTAACTTTATTAAAAGTTATATCTCTACTTATTAAAAAAGCTTATTAACACTAATTATTATTATAGTTAAGTAATTATGAAAAGGTGTATAAGTAATAGCATACTTAATCACTATTTTAACTAATTAGCTTTATACCCTTAAGGATATAAATATAGCACTTACTAAGCGCTAGAGGGCTAAAAGAATATAAGTCCAGCTTAAAGGGGCACTTAGTATAGAGGAATCTTAGGTTTTGCTTAAAGGGAAACAAAAAGGGAAACGTCTAGCACCTTAAGAGGATGACAAGGGGGGTCTATTAAAGAGAGCCCAGCTAGCTTAGAGACGCTGTGGTATATGTGGTGAGACTGGGCATAACGCGTGAACCTGTTCTAAAGATGTCGAACCCTCAGGAGATTCTGATAGCAACAACTAATAGTTAATTTAATGCGTTGTGGTTGAGAAATACTAGATGTTGTTGTGTATGTGGGAAAAAAACGTCCAGCTGACTGGTCTGGCTGGCTGACTGATGAACCATATTATATATTTTATATTTTTATTATATAATTATGTATTTAAATACTACTATAACTATAGTAATTAATAGTAATTAAGGTATTAGCGATATATTTAGTGCGTTTTGCGTGTGATATAGAAAAATATACGTTATAGCGTAAAATAGGCTTTTTCTTATATTTTTGTATAAGCGGGAAAAAAAAGGGGGGGCGGACGCTGTCAGTGCAACGGACTGTAGTGCCCCACAGTGAAAGCCAATGGGGGCACCCCATTAAGTCCTTGGTTCACTTCTAGGCGAGAATCTTCGCTGACCCTTTGATCGTCATGAACAATACTGCTTTGATGGGAGACGCTCTTTATGTCATGGAACTTGGACCAAGTATCAAAATCTAGTCTATGCTTTGTTCAAAACCAAAGGCCTTCTGCAGAGAGCTCACAGACTCATCGAAAATAATAAAAATTGTGTTGTTGAACGAACTAGAACATTGAGTTAAGACAGAGCTATTGTTTCGACTGCCGAAGAGCTTTCTTGCGGAAACTACGACAAGCTCATAAATGATAACCTTACTTAAGAAGGGGCGAATTGATGGCGGTGTCTGGGGTAACATTGGAACCACAATAAGCATACCCAGAGATCTCATCACTAAACCACAACGTCAACTTCAGGCCCGCTTCTCATATACGTAAGTGAGCCCCGTCTAAATTCAAACAGCAACAGCAACAGCAGTCATGTGCAGAATCACGCAGGATGTTGAATACTGCATCAACTGCGGCAGAACGATACTTTACCGCGACAATTTCGAACCGTGCGTGAGAGTGCAACAGTTCAGTAGATCATGCAGAACCCCAGCGCAGTGGTGCAGAGGCACACTCTACCGACACATCTATGAGACCTACGTTCAGTCTTGCCATAGATGCCATCCACACTCTCATCCTTACGCGGACGACTACGAGTACGAAGATGAGCTCGATGAAGAGGAGGACATACCACTGACTCCGCCTCATAGGCGGTCTCTCAGATTTCCCGCAGAGTTATCTCCACCCCGACAAACCCTCGCTCGACATGTCAACCGGCTGCCATCTCCCCCTCCCGCTTATCATAATACAGCAACTTCGCAGCGCATCTCTCAGCCTCCACCGCAGTACAGCCCGCCTCGCCGCAACCTGACTCAGCCTCAATTATACGTGCGAGAACCATCACCTGAGCCAGCTAGGGTTCGATTCCAGTCTTCCCCAGCTCGCCGCGCTCAAACCCTTCCTCAGGATCTATCAGCTCACGAAGTTGAGGAGAACTTCCGGGGCCCGTCTTATCATCACCCGGAAGCGCAAAACAATCGGTTGGACATCTTGCAGATTATTGGACAGCGTGATCGTCCACGAAGTGCACACGGGATTCGCGCTCGACTTCATCGTGCATGGCATGGACCCGAGTTTCGATATGATTAGGTGTGTTGAGACAAAGTTGGACACGAGCTGGAAGGTTTGGAGCAAAAGACTAGACCAAGACTGTACATGTGAATAGAAATTGATCTTTTGACTACTAAAACACATTCTCTCTCGGTGCCCTGATTCCTGGATTTGAGGCGTAATAGACTGATTGCAACAGGTGTACAGAGCAGAGCTGTGTACTTCACCAACATATAAATGCTTTGGGATCATGGCCCGCGACGAATACATCTGTGTATCAGATTTCAAAACCACTGGCTTGATCCTCAGTCATGTGGCGAATGACCCAACTGAAGCTCTCATGTCTTGCCTTATCCAACATAAGTCGGAGGTCAATTGTATGTCCCATGTCCACTAAGCAACCTCTCATGGAAGGACTTCGAATTCTTCGCACAAGTCTTCTTCACCATACCAACCATCAGCTTAGAACACCTAATCTCCACAACAGCGATCATCTCCAACCCTCCATTCTGTGCTTCTCGAACCCGCCATCGAGTGTCCAACACCACGCCCATGGGCGCAACGGTGTGAACGAATATGCCGTCATTCGTGCGCGTGTACTCATTGTAGCTTACAGCGTCGCGATGACCAAATAATGCAGGTACACTGTCGGTCACCATGTACGCCTTCGTCGCCTCGGTCGGGTGTATGTCGCTGGGGAGTTTGACCGGAATTTGAAGGTCGCAAGGTGAAAAAGACTTCATATCAGAGTCGGACCGTATGTGATGTTCCGCATCTTGAACAAGTGCGAGAGCTTTCTCGCGTGATATGCTCGCTGGAATCGGCGTGACTTGGGTTAAAGTGGCCGAAGTATCCAACATCTTTGATTGTAGTTGAATTAAGAGATAACATGCGGCGATACCTGTTTGTGCTCAATCTGGTATGGGGACCCCAATGATTTATTGGGATTCGAGCCAGATCGAGGAGCTCGATGACCGAGCGGCCAAGGCCCTTGACACAGGGAAAGTTTCACACATCCACAGTTGTGAACTATAATGTACGAGCCCCTCGGGTTATTGGCCCTAGTACTTGAGGGACTAGCATAAAATGCGTTTACCGGTGGGATGATTGGTTTCATCTCCAGCACGGCATATTACTATGGCAATTCTTGCACCCGGACGGGCCGAACCGATCTGAGCTACGAGTATATAACATCCATCGAGAGCATCTTATATTGAGATAGAGTAGTGAGGAAGGAATCAGGAACCACAAAAGAGTATCTCATAAGTCTCGTTGGCCTTGTCTCTTTTTGGACGTGAATTGATCGAAACTTTGACCTATATTATGCCTAGTTGGAGAGGCTGAATAGGGGCCAAAAGAAAACAAAAAAAAAACAAGGCCTGCATCATGACCGTTTCCTTTTCAATAACTCACTTAGTCTGCATGTGCTCGAATAAGACTTGCCACATAATCGTTCCTCTCTGCCTCACAAAACCTCCCTTTGGTCATGTATTGATGCCTGAGTGAAGACAGAGCACTTGCGTAGACGATTTCATGATGTAACACAGCCGCTTACAGCTGCTTAGTTGGAGTCTACAACTGTCAATTGGCGGTCTGAACTCCGTTGACAGGTCGAAAATCAACCCACCACCGAAAACCACGCGTCAGACACCACTGCGAGCGTTATCTCCAGAGACCTCTTAGTGTTGGACCGTATGATCAACTTTTCCTTGCACAAATGATGTCTTGCAACCCATGTCTATTTTACTCACAGATTGATGAACACTATCCAAGTTTGATTGAAGTGTTGAGTGGCCAAGGTCGAAGTTCTGTGCCAAAAGATTCAATAAGACCCAGGACCTTGTTTGAAAGACGCCGTCCCTTTGCTTGGCGATGCAACATCGGTCTCCCGTAAATCTTTAATTGAGAAAACGGCCAGTTGAATGGCTTCATCCCGCCGGCGCGGAAGGAAATGTCACATTCCACGCATCACATGGAGGCCCGTCCAACATGGTCACAAAAATGTCTCAATGGTGCCCAAAAAGATACATATTCTCTTGCGAACCATTTCCCCGCATAATTGCAAATATCTCCCAATAGCCTTCGCCCCAACAAATCATAGGCCATCAACATCAGATCAGTTCAGTGGACATCATGCGGATACTTGAATATGCTCTGCTGACCCTACTTGGTGAGTTCATCCCCCACTGACGAGTTGAAGGTATTACTGATTATTCAGTTTTTGGCCTGAGAATTTCGACGGCCGAGTGCACTTCCAAGGATGCCATCGATTCAGAACGATACGATTACATCGTCGTTGGAGCAGGCGCCGGTGGCATGCCTGTGGCAGACAAGCTTTCCGAGGCGGGTCATAAGGTCCTCATGATTGAAAGGGGACCTATTTCGTCCGGTCGATGGTTTCCTGAGGAGACTTTACTCAAAGATCAACTGCCTTTTGACAACTGGCGACCGGAATGGCTCGAGGGCACCAATCTCACCAGATTCGACGTCCCAGGCCTGTGTCAAAGAATCTGGGTAGACGGGAAGAATGTCACGTGTGACGACATCAACGAGAACACATCTGGCTGCGTCCTTGGCGGAGGAATGGCCGTCAATGCGGGTCTCTGGTGGAAGTCTCCTGACATTGACTGGGATCAAAGTTATCCAGAGGGTTGGAAGGCAGCAGATATGAAGGTTGCCGCGGATGCGCTTTTCAAGAGAATACCCGCAACTGACAGGCCCTCAGCCGACGGTGTTCTCTATGCCCTGGAGGGGTATAACGTGCTTTCGCGCGCCTTGAAAGCTGGAGGATGGAATTACGTCAACCCGGCAGACAACCCCAACGCGAAAAGCCAAACATTTGCTTTTGCAAACTTCATGTATCAGAACGGGGAACGACATGGTCCGTTGGCAACCTACCTAATAACGGCAAACTCGAGACCTAACTTCAAAATGTGGACGAACACGATGGCCCGCCGTGTCATCCGCAATCAAGGTCGGATCACTGGGGTTGAGGTTGAGTCTCGTGGTGACGGAGGCCGATGCGGCATCGTGAACGTAACGGAGTCAACTGGCCGAGTGGTGATCTCAGGCGGCTACTACGGCACACCGAAGCTGCTGTTCTGAAGCGGTATCGGACCAGAGGATCAGCTCCGTATTGTCCAGCAGAGCACCGATGGCCTCGACTTCATCGGAGAAACGCAGTGGATCAAGCTACTAGTAGGTCGAAATCTTCACGACCACACTGTGACTGACTTGCAGATCACTCACAAAGACGTCAACTATTATGACTTTCAGATTGGTGCATGGGAGAGTCCAATCCAAGCTGATGTGGATGCCTACTTGAAGAATCGGAGTGGGATGCTTACCATGACGGCGCCAAATGATAGTCCTATCATGTGGGAAATCGTTGATGGACCGGATGGACCACGTCAGTTTCAGTATACAGCGCGAGTGGCCGGAGCGACCAAGAACTCGATGACAATCTCGCAGTTCCTTGGCAGAGGCGGCACATCTGTCGGTGCCGTGACGATTAACCCAAATCTCACGATGTCGATTTCTACTCTTCCATACCAGCAAACAAGGGAGGATAAAGCGGCCATCATTTACTGATGAAGACTGTCAACTGATCCTGACATCGTGTTCACACATCCGCCCGCAAATATGACTGTGGAACAATACATAGAAGAGGTACGATCACAGGCGTTTGGCTCGGCCTTCTGTAAACGATGCTAATAATCTACGGATGCCGGTCAATATCCAGAGACGGCGTGGGCTTCATTATCTCGGTACCGCAAAGATGGGAATCGACAGCGGTCTTGAAGGTGGCACGTCCGTCGTCGACACTCACACGCGCGTCTATGGTACAGAAAGGCTGTTCATCATCGATGCTTCGATTATGCCTGGAATGGTCACAACCAATCCGTCTGGACCGATCATGACTGTTGCGGAAAGGGCAGCTCAGCGCATTCTAGAGCTACAAGGGAGTATCCTGTCTGGTGGTGTTGCGGATGTTTCAAAAGGGGCACAGAAGAGTCTGGCGAACCAACCGTTGTACAACATCCCTCTACTTACTTGCGCGCTAAGTATTGTCATTTTACTGATGAGATTCTAAGCCGAATGAGACACCCCATCGCACTAAACAATCGCAAAACTTCAGTAGCATAAGAGTGTTTGTTGCGGCGGAGGTTAATCCTGTTAAGCTCACAACTTCTGGCTGGCTGTATGAGGGTTCAGTTTAGATAAAGTCTTGTTGAACCCACTTAGCTAGAAATGGCAATCAACAAGCATGCACTCTATCCCACCGAGACTCAATGCATGCTAATACACGTTGATGATGGTCTCAGCCTCTACACAACTAAAGAGTTGACAGATTTTACCGCCGTTGCTTCCGCCGCCGAAGCTGCCTGACCCAATTCGAACACCACCTACGACGCAATGACCGACAGACGGGTCGCACTGACGCTAAGGAGACCTTCGTCCGAAGCCGCCGCTGACCAGGTCAGGATCAGGGCCCTCGACATCCCGGGCGACCATAGGAGATCCGCCAGCCTTATCTTCAATGATGCTGTCACCGATTTGAAGGTCTCCGCCATCATGCTCAATGAGGACGAATTTCTCCGTTGCTTGGGTAGTAGCAGTATCGCAATTGGAACGGGCCATAACTTGGCCATGTTGGTCGGCGCAGTAAGGCCTAGCATCGGCAGCAGCCGCAAAGAAAGCGGCGACTGCGAGCTGCTGGAGGCCCGAAAGGGAGAGGTGAGTGGACTTCATGTTTGTGTGGCCAAGCCCTTTTTAAGTTGAGATGATGGTAGTAAAATAACAGGCTTTGATTGCTTGAGACGGCAAGCTAGAACGAACTTTTAGAACGGACGAAGATCGCCATTTTATACCATTTGGCAGAGCTTTATATAGAAGATTGAATGAAAAGAAAGTAAGAAGCTATTAATCTTCCATTGCCGGGTTGATGGTGAAACAATCTGCTCGTCAATTTCGCCAGGGACGAACCTCGTCAGAAAAGGATACGAGTGCTTCGGACTTCTATGATAGTCAGATAAAGACTTGGAGAACACAAAGACTTTTCTGTCATAGCTTAGGTCTCGAATAAAGCACAGTTGCGTCTTGTTCGTAATGTCGGGAATTGACTTCGGCGACGGAACTTCCTAAAACTTTCTACATAGAGATGTCCGCATCATCACGACTATCCTCGGAAATGTTGGTGTTGTGAAGCCCTGGCCCGACAACTCGATCCGACAGAGCGAACGCCCAAACCCAGTTCTATCGTTCATTCGGAAGGCGTTCAACCACCATGAACTTGGAAGAGGGGAAGTGCTAAGCGCGCAGCTTCCGCACATAGGTAACCAACTTAGACGCACTTAGTGATATATCGTGTCTTGGTCGTGTGTGCTCTAATACAGCTGCTTCAACGAAACGCCCTTGTGGACATAACAGGGCATGAAACCGCAGGGAATGTCTTTAGCCTTCAACTCCATGGAACTCTAGCCAAAAGTCGCCAAATCGTGCGAGAGTATCAAAATTTCCGTCGGCTATCGGATTGAAGCCGAAACTTACCGAGGACTCCGTATACGGGGGATTTGCAACTAGCAACTATGGAACCGCACAATGTGAAATCTTTCCCGCCGGTCTGTATGTATCTGCCACATTCTTGATTCCACTAAAATTTCGTAGGGGGTCTGTGGTATGGGGATCGAAGCCCATGCCCCATATAAGAACGAGACTCCTTTTGGCTCAATCTTTCGCTCGGTGGGAAGTATTCCATAACGCTTTCAGCCAGACACTGCTCAACAGAATGCGTCGTATTCCAGTTCAGAAACGGCCGAACCATACGCGCCTAGTCCAAAGCCAGAGTCTACTTTTCGCAGACCTCGTAGCTCCCAGTTCCTTGGAGCCATATTGGCCGGACACCCGGTAATCCTCGTTTACCACAGAAGAGATACACCTTCTCGAAGGCGCCGCCAAAGACGTTTTTGCGATGTGCTGCGACGCAGCAGACTACCTGACAGAAAACCAAGATATCATCACTAAAGACATGGCGGTGCCCGCTTTTGCCTTGAGCAGGATTAAAACGTCGTGGAACCGAGAGCTTGCACGGGGCAGTATTTATGGACGCTTCGATGGGTGCTTTGGTGGCTTAAACCATACGGACCCTCGATTGCGGCAGCCTAAGTTCTACGAGTTCAACGCGGACACCCCTACCTCGCTACTCGAAGCTGGTTCAATCCAATGGCTATGGCTGGAACAGACTGGAAATGGAAGCGATCAATACAACAGTATCACCAAGAAGCTTATCACGGCTTTGGAAACGCAATCTCACCCATATCCAGCAGACGTTGGGACACAAGCCTGTGGTTCATTTCGCTGTAGGCGAAGGAGACTGTTCGGGGGAGGATGCCTTCAATGTGATGTTCTTGATGGATACTTGCCAGCAGGCGGGCTGGCAGACGAAGGCACTTACAGCTGAGGAGATCTCTGTCTCGAAGAATGATTGACGATTTTACGATGCAAACGGCGACCATCTCGACGTCATCTTTAAGCTCTATCCGTGGGAATTTATGGTGCAGGAGCCATTTGCGCAGTCTTGCTTCCAGGATATGGGGAAGATTGGCTTGCAAGACGAAGCAGGAAACTATGTTGGAGGAACCATTTGGATCGAGCCGCCTTACAAAATGTTATGGAGCAACAAGTCAATCTTCGCCATCCTCTGGAGACTGTTCAAAGACGACCCGAGGGGGAAATGGCTTCTCCCGACGTATGTCAATGAGGCACCCTCGTCAATGACGAGTTTTGCGCGCAAGCCAATTTTTGCGCGAGAGGGTGCCGATGTTGTTTTGCAACGTGATGGCAAAGTTATACAGGATGCATCTACGGGAGATTATGGCGCTGAAGGGTATGGTGTGGAGGAGCTTGCTCTACTTCCAGAGTTCAGGGCCGCGGATAGAAACACATACTACCCTGTGATAGGATTGTGGTTCATCGACGGCGATCCCGCAGGTATGGGAATCCGTGAAGACCGGACACCGATTACGACAAACACGTCCGTCTTTATTCCGCACTCGATTGAGGGTGGACCAGCGACGTACGAGAAACAGACAATCCCTGACAACGAGGAAATTGAGGAGCAAATAAGAGTAGCTCCGTTTTTTGACTCGTTTGATTGGGAAGAGAATGAGATTGTGAGCTTTATGAAAAAGGTTGTTCTTAGATGATGGTCGTTCAAAAGTCAATTTTGAAGGCAAGAATATAAGGGAAAAAACAAAGGTGTTAGGGCACAGTATGCTCGCGGGCACAAAATAACCTGGTGATGACACTTAAGGCCAGGTCAACTTCAACCAAGAAGACCGCAAAAAATAAGTGGTTCTCCCCTTCCAGAATCGAACTAGAGACCTTTCGATAACAATGTAACCATTACAGTCGAACGTGATGAACCAACTACACCAAGGGGAGTGACAGGGCTAAAGCCCCGCTTGGTGAGATGACCTCGATGGAGCCGCAAGCGGCCCATAGAGCGAGGGTGATTCAGGCTCCACATTTAACTTCATCATGATGCTGAATGTGCCACCCTAGTGTGAACTTTTAAAACAATCAGATGAACACGAGATCATGGTTTGATAGGTATCCAAGGTATATTATGCAGAAGACCCTACTGACTCCGGGATTGATAGGTCACTACACTGCATGTCCACGGACCCCTGCAGCTCTAAACCAGGAGACATGCGCGTTCATTTTTTGTCAACGTTATTGGCGTTTCTTTCCTTTTGTCTCTTTTTCCCATTTGAACCTTCCGATTCAAGAATCACACACTATAGCATTTGACTATCTGGTAGCATTTTCCCGTGAAAATTGACGGTTGACGTCAAGCTAAATGCCTATTTTCTTTCCAGCGACCGTTAGTTGTTCCCAGTCCCTAACGCCAGCATAAGTTGCTCCCACTGTGACACCTTTCACATCACTCTCTGCCGTACCGAATGCCAAATGCAAAAGTGTACCATCGGTCGAGTCACTGTACTCCGTCGTCGGCAGGCCCTTCCCAGAAACAGCCCCCCACATCAACCTACTCTCAGCCAGGTCGTCTCGCCAATCACCCTCATCGTATTCCGATACAAGAACGTGACCGCCCTTTTGGTCAATTGGATTCAGGGGAAGTGAATCAGAATCTGAGAGTCCCCACGACGAGAGCGGCTCGGGGGTAGTCACTGTAGATAGCTCGCGATTCGGCCGGAGAACGTGACAGGCAGCCGAGATAGCAGCCGAGCAGCTCCCGACCATGACTGTTTGTCCTGAGAGACGAAATCGTGAGGTGATGACTGGGACGAGCAGCATGGCGAAGAGAACGACCATGGTCGTGATCGCGGCTTTGAATGATAGGAGGATGTTGATGTACATGGTGACTTGTCCGTAACTGCTCGACACGATTTGATCTGGCGGAATGGCCTCGAGTGCTTTACTACATCAGTCAATTTCACCAATGGAAGCTTCAAAAGAACTCACGTTCTATTATGATGGCGTATACGGAGTTGGCACACAGCCAGTGCACCAACAGACCCGCTGCTTGCATGACAATAGCATATGGCAGGGGGATCTCCAGGAACGGTTCAGACTGCTGCTGGCCTTTTGGCACGCTGACGCGAAGTGGTTTGAGGTTCAGGCTGTAGGACGTCCATTCCCTGGCCATAAACATGCGGGTGTATATGACGTTCAGAAGGAGGCATGTGATAGATAGTCCAAGCTGTGGGAGGTTGGACAGGAGGGATGAGCCGACGGGGTTTGTGGCCAAGCTCCCCACGAAGTTCTCGAGGGCTTTGGAGGGATACCTCATTGCGAAGACGGGGTTCTCGGGGTCCTGTCCAAAGGTTCCCCATGTGTAGGCGCGCTTCCATCCCCCGCTGTGATTTCCACGTTAGCAAAGCGGATTAGCAAGTCAGGATAGATACAGACTTCTTACACTTCGCTTGCAAAAGAGTTCAACGCCAAGAATCCCAGAATCAAACCTACAACGCCGATGGAATATGTCTTGATCCAGTCGGAGAGATGGACCGAGCCGCCCCAGCGCTGCGTCCGTATCTCCCACTTTCGTGGCTCGGCGAGCCAGCCGTATTCCTCCGGCCGCTTGCGGGGTCTCCAGCGGCTCCTCCTCGAAAAGTCCCGCCACCCGAATGTGCACATGCCTCTGGTAGTGGCGTCGGGCAGGCGGATGAAGGAGTCGACGGCATCCCCGATAGTTGCCAGCGGTTTCCTTTTCCACAGGTAGCTTATAACAACGACACAGAGACAGCTCTTGAACAGCGCAACAATGCAAACCGCCAGAAACAGGTCGTTGTTGACGCGTACTCTGCAAGTGCCGACGATGGGCTCCGAGAGGCAGTACTTGACCGTCGACGTCTCGTTGAGTAGAGGGACGTTGCCCGGCGCGCCCACGGCGTCCCAAGAGATAACCCAGTTGTCGTCATGATCGAGCAGCTCATCCATCCACGTGCCGGTCTTTAGGTCGAGAAGGCTCCAGAATCTGCCCTTTGACGAGACGACGGAGACGTTCTCATATGGGCCGTGGTCGTTCTCCCATTTTATGGTCATGCCCGTAGCCAGACCGGAGCCTGTAAATCTATTGTTTCCAGAGTGGAAGCCGTAGAAGCCGGCGTACCAGAGACTGTAAACCGTGTCGTTCAGCATACCAGCCTTCCATGCCTTGGACTTTTCTGCCGTAGTCCACCCTCTGTCGTTGTTGTCCGCTTCCACCACCGCCACCATGTGTCTCCTGCTGCGCACATTGATCCACACGCTGTACGCCTCCAGGCACTCCTTCCCAGTAAGACGCTCCCAGGACTTTGCGTTAGCCGCCATGTACCGCACCTCGTCCGGGACAACATTCCTGTACGCCTCGTCAGCTGGCCCAGGGTCAGGGCCTAGACCAATGCCGGGAAGGTAGTACTCCCGGCCCTCGAGGAAACCTTCCGACACAACAGCAGTAACCCACTCCGTGCTCGTAGTCGAACCGAAGACGCAAGCGTTAAAGAGCAGATGAAACGGCACGGAGCTCAACGCAAACAGACTCCATAGCACACCGCGCCACGGCGACACGAAGCGCAGGTTGCGCATGGAGGGGATGCCCACATCCATCCACCGCGAGCGCTGATGCGCGGCGTCGATATCCGCCCGCGTCGGGGCGGCCAGCATCTGCATGAAGTAATTCGACGAGATGAGGATGAGGGTAGAGAAGGCGTTGACGAATGCTTTGAGGGCCATTAGACGCACACGCGCCGAGTCGCAGTCGCCCTCAAAGATCTTTGAGATGTTGAAGACGGGCGAGTCTGATGACCCGCGCGCGCGGGTGACGGCAAGGAGAATCCAGAGGATGATTGTCAGTGTCCATATTGCGCAGACAAAGATCAGAGCCGACACGCGCCAGCCGCTGAGGGTTTGGCCGAAAAGGTGTTGCATCTCTATCTTCCCCGTAAGAGAGAGCTTAACACGGAAGAAGGGAAGAGTTGGGAGATGCTTGGACTTGGCCTTGGAGGCTCAGGTTTCGGGAGGCATATTTGAATGTTTGTTGGCCTGGAAGATCTTCATCACTGCTGCAAGGGTCTCGTGTTCCAGGGCATGATCGATTGAAGCTATTCGTCGGGGTGTTTAGCGCCAGGCACGTAGTCTTACTAAATGAACGCTAAGACGGGATGTTTGTATGGTATGAAATATTCATTGGTTCCTTGGACAGGCAGATATCCTTCCTAAGCCTTACCAGCTTTCGCTTGAATATCCCAAGTCGGTAAATTGTGGCCTAGCTGGCTTTCCATATCTGTCTTACGTGAGATTTAGCGATATGAATGCGAGAATTGCTTTCCCTGGCCTCGATGTTGCCGTGCAGCCATGCGCCCCTGACAGGGATCAGCGCAGCGTCTCATTGGTACATTAGCGGCAAGTTCTCGACCCCTGCCGTTTGAAGAAGTTCTGAGGAAAGCTGCCAGCAGGAGACTTAGTATTCCAGAAAAGAGAATGTGTTGATATCAGCGTGTCTGTACTGGAAGGCAAGGTTGAATCTGACCTAAAGGAAATGTGATGTATTCGGCCCAAGCCTGGACCAGTATTGTTAATCAAGTGCTCAGACAGGTTAACGAAGTCATTTTTCAACGTTAGCAAATTTCTGCATATATATTTCTCTTGCATCTCAACTAACGAAGAATCTCTGTAATTTCTGTGTATAGAACGAGCTGAAGCAGTTAACGACATAGTGATTAGGATGTAGCGTTGGAGATAATTACTGTTCAGACATAAAATTAAACTAACTACTAGGTAATCTGTGGAGAAAACGACTATCTATCACTATCATCTCAAATCATAAAGAGAGCCTCCTAGCAACAACAAAATAGATTATTGACCTCTAATCCGCATAAACTATATAATATCAGAAATAAATAGATCATGATATGCTTAACATGTTAAAAAGTCATCACAAAGAAGCGCGATGATAACCCGCCTCACCACATTATAAGTACAGTGTTCGAGTCGTTTGAGAAAGCACACCTGAGTATCAGCTATAAGGAACGAATGCAAAAAGGAAATGTGGTTCTCCCCTTCCAGAATCGAACTAGAGACCTTTCGATAACAATGTAACCATTACAGTCGAACGTGATGAACCAACTACACCAAGGGGAGTAACGGGGCTACAGCCCCGCTTGGTGATGAGCTCCACTGGACTGCAAGCTGCTTATACCGTAGAGCGAACGAAGAAAAGCTGGATCTCCACACTTAGATCTGTCGAATTCTCGTCACAGAAATATCGACAACACGAATGATGCGAATGGGTTGGAAAGCCCAAAAAACAACTTAATCTAACCAGGGACGTTTGCATAACATGCTTGGTGGTTTATAACGTGGGAAAGCGCCGCTGTAGCCGCACCAAACTGCAAAGGAAACTTCGGAAGGGAAGAAGAATACTCTTCATGTCCTGGTTCTAAGATATCTGCCTCGCCCCAGTCGCGCAATGTGCCAATCGGCCTCACGGCTAACATAAGGCTGTCCCATTGACAGACGTTGGAATCCTACCAGGAGCTACAGAAAGGTGTTTCTGGAATCGGTAATATTCAACGCCTCTGCGGGCTGGCGAGTAAGAAAAAGAACAGTCTTCCGTGCAGCAAGTATGCAATTACGATTTGGAAAGTGGCATCAAGTACAGTCATAATGATGGAATATGTCAAATAGATCATCAATGTGC